TTCGAAAACCATAGTGCTCGACAATAGAAAGCGGATAATCATGTATAATAATCATCTTCGCTAAGTCTTCCCTACAAAGTTCAGCATTAAATGAATATTTACTCATTTTCCCCTTTCCGTCTGRAGCCTTTTGGTCCTGAACTAGGATATGTTGTCTAATATCCTTTGTAACTCTTCTTGGGCAATTCTTAAAATGGTCCTTCAAATGTGTAGTTCCGTCATTGGCTCTACCCGTCAGTTGTTTATTGCAATAATTACATCTTGCATATCGTCTAACACCATCAACATACACTTGTTCAAAATGATTCCAAACAACCGACTTTAATCTTTTTTGTGGTTGTTTATTGCCCGTGTTAGTCCCTACAGGCATGCTTACGGGTTCGTAAGTATCATCACCGGTTGTTACTTGTTCCTTGTTTCCTTCCATCTCAGTCTCATCACCATGTATGTTCTCGTTTTCCGAAGATTCCATCTAAAATTAAAAGTTTGTATGTGATAATAAACTTACAAAATTTGGATGATATAAGTCAAAACCCTAACTTATTAATAAAGAAACTCAAAACCATAGAATATGATCATTATAATCCATAGAATATGATCATTATAATAAAAAAAAGTCAAAACCCTAACTTATTTAAATAAATTGACCAACAACAATAATAATATAATATACTAATTTGGGTCCACATTAGTTCACAAATCAAGAAAAAGTAGGCAAATAGATAAGGTAAACCAATAATTTAACAAGAAATGATCAAGTGAAGGTGAAGAATGTAAGCATACGGTAACAAATCAAGAGGGAGAGCCGAGAGGGAGAGGCCGAGAGGGACTGAGGGAGAGCCGAGAGGGAGAGCCGAGAGGGAGAGTGGAGTCGTCGKCCAGCCTCTCACCGTCGGCCAGCCTGTCACTGTCACCGTCGCAGCAGGCGTCGTGGACACTGGAGAGGAGAGCGAGCAGCAGCAGCAGCGYGTCGTGGACCTGTGGTGAATTGCAGAAGTGATCAAGTGAACTGGTGACTACCTTGGAGGGAAGGGAAAGACTAATTTGGACTTGGTGTGGATTGGGCTAAGGAAAGGATGCATTATATTCTCTTTTATAGCTAAAGCCCAAAGTCAAAAGCCCAATTCTTATAAAACATATATACACATAAATAACGGGTACGGGGCGGGGCGGGGAGTGCTATACCCGTCCCCGTCCCCATCCCCGGATTGCGCCAAGCGGGGATCCCCGTCCCCGTCCCCGTACCCGATTTTTCGGGGATTCCCCGTCCCCGATCGGGGCGGGTGGACCGGGTTACCCGACGGGTCGGGGTCCATTACCATCCCTATTTGAAAATGAGACCTGATCAATAACATCATTAAAAAAGTCTGTTAAAAACAAGGGTAAAATCGTCCAATCATTTTTCCTTCTTTTTTTGTAATTCTTTTAGTTTTTTTTCAAAAACCATCAAAGTTTATAGACCTGTTATGTAATATATCTATATAAGGTTGGGTTCACGTGAGACCAAGGGGTTTCCGTGAAATCCGTAAGACCAATTTATATTTATTGATCAACTTTATAAGCTAATGATCTAATGATCTAAAGTTGTACGGTGACAATTTTATGATTATTGAGAAGTCTCGTGACGTTTATGAATGTTCAGATTGTTAGATTGTAGATCTAATTCAAGGGTTGAGAATTGGTCTTATGGGTCTCACGGAAACCCTTAGTCTCACATGATCCCAAGTCTCTCTCTCTCTCTCTCTCTATATATATATATATATATGTGTGTGTGTGTGTGTGTGTGTGTATATATATATATACACACACACACACACACACTTGAGATAACGTGAGACCAACCTGTTTTTGTGAAACCCGTGAGACCACCTTTTTACATTTGAAACTTGTTTTACAGAGATGATATCACAGGGACGATGTTTACACATGATCATCGAGGGTATCACAGGGACAATACTAACACAACAATGACGGACCAAAATGGGGCGGGGGAGAGGTTGGCCAGAGATCTCGAGTGAACCGGCCAAAAAAATAATTTTCAGGGACCAAATAACAGGTATCACGATGGTGATGAGGATGATTTAAAGGGACGAATCTACATGGTGGGTTACGATGGTGATAGGAATGATGGTCCCTGTGTTTTATACACACACACACATGTTAGAGTTACTTACGTACAGGTCTTTATAGTATTATGGTTTTCAAAAAAAAATAAGGAGAAACAAAAGGAAGTGCAAAAAGGGTGACATAACATGGTTGGACGAAAGTACCCCTGTCTTTGACGGACATCATAGATGAAATTAGTGACAATATCCAATTTTCAAAGCAAAATCCAAATATGGGGAACGACTTTTTGACTCATTAAAGTTTAAGTCCCATTTTCAAATAAATAATCAAAGACGAATTTTCCACTTATTATTATCATTTTTATTTAATTGTGACATTTTGCTCAAAATTATTCATGATTTTTGTATAAAATATTATTTTTTATGAATCATGAAAAATTTATAATGTTATGATTTAACAAATATATGCTCAAAAGAGATTTGAGATCATGTGAGATAAGATTGTTTTTGTAAGACACATGAGAAAATATTTTTATACTTGAAACTTCACAGCAAAACACTATGAATGTTTGAATTTTTTTTTTACCTTCAGAGTGTTTTGCTGTAAAGTTTCAAGTGTAAAAATATTGTTTTATGTGTCTCACGAAAAAACATGATCTTACGTGAACCCAACCCAGATTAATTATGTCCATGTCCAAACTCAAAACAATCAGATATCACCCTTATGGTTAATAATTTAGTATCATGTGTGATGAAAATATAACACGTGATATAAGTTCTCACATTTTTATAAACCTATAGTTTTTTTTTGTCGTTTCAACCCATTACTATAATTAATTGTATTTAATCATTAAAAAAAGGTGATTTAATTTTCTTTTAAAAGTCTTAGCAACTTGATGAAGCAAAGAATATCATATAAAAAAAGGGTGATTTTCATGCCTTTTTTATATATTTATTTTTAAAAAATCTGTTTAAGAAAAAACTAATGTTGATAATTTTATCATTTTATATATATTATTTTTTCTTTTAAATTTGTTGGGAGAACCTAACAAATGTAATTTCGTCGCATAAACAAATAATTCCGTCACCAAAATGGTTTCGGTTTTTTGAAACACAGAAAACGAAAATCGATATACGGTCTTATCTATTTGATGGGAGATTTAAATAAAAAGGTTAGATGACGTGAGAAGCTAAAAGGAAAGGTTTTCTGATCGAATTACTGAAAAACTTGAAAAAATCTATTTGAATATGCACATGTGAATTAACGATACAAATTATTCATATGGATTCATATATGTATTTCCAAATGAATTTTTATTAATGATTCACATATGAATCTTCTCTTCTCAATTCTCAATGACTCATGTAAAAAAAAAAGCTAATTGAACATTTATAGTCATTAATATTTTGTATATTTGGAATCAACATTTATAAAAGCCAATTTTCATATAGCTTAACGTGGTAAAAAACGCAATGAATACGTGAGTTAAATATGTTGGATCGTTGGATCTACATATTTTTAGGTACATCAAATCGGGCTTCAAAGTTTAAGAACATGTGAATAATATATATTCATTAATGAATATATCATGTTTTTATACAGGTTAAGTTGATGAATTCTTGTGTTGAAGTTCAGTATCTACACAACTCAACATAACAACTACCTGTTTCTTCCCACTCCATCTTCTCGACTTGCCGGAATCCAAAGACCTCCATGCCGGAATCAAGAAACTCCGGTGACAGCCAAAGAAACTCCGAGGTTGTCAACATCGAAGAAGATGAACATCACGACGAAATCTCTTATTCCCAACAAACACCCGATTTACCAATTCCCGAAAGCCAAATCATCGGTTTAAAGCGTCATGATTCCTTAGATATCGAGTCTGCTAAAATTCACAGCCACCACCGTCACAACGACACCAAAGTCAGTATGTATTCGTAATTTTCTCTTCAATACATATATATACACACACACACACACATTGATCGGTTGTTTACTAAATACTTACCGTATTTCTTATCGATCTGATTAACGCTTACCAGGTAAGACACTCATATTATGATATTTTGAATGACCAAAAGTCTTACCAAGTAATGATTATAAACTACGATGCTCTTACCTAGTAAGCGCTTATCCAGTTTATGCCAATAATCAGTCTCTTATTGTGGATTCTTCCGCTTATTTTGTTTGAACGAATTTGTTTGAAGGATTGGGGAATGACACTAAGGCTAGCATTTCAAAGCATCGGGGTGGTTTATGGCGACATTGGGACGTCGCCATTGTATGTGTATGCGAGCACTTTTAGCGATGGAATCAAACACGAAGACGACATTTTGGGTGTTTTGTCCATCATATTTTACACTATTACGTTAATTCCAGTAATTAAGTACGTTTTGATCGTATTGCATGCCAACGATAACGGAGACGGTACCCAATTTTCTTTACTTTTTTATCTTTGTCGATTCATTACGAACTTGAAGTTTTAGCGCGAGTCACCACAACAAAATTGGTTTTATAAGGACGCCATAAAAACGTCGCAATAAATTTATAAGACGTTTTAAACAAGTTTTTAAGAAATTCTTAAAATTTTAAAAGTTGTCGTATTAAATTTTTTACATAACCCTTCTTAGAAATGTCATATATATCAAGACATCTCTTTATAGGATACTTGTTTTTATAATACAAATTTTAATATAATGTCGTATAAAAGAACTAATAAAACGTTTTATTTTAAAAAGTGTTCTAAAAAAACTTGTTAAGACACCAAAAACTGGCCTATAAACTTACGGTAACGTTTTTATGAATGACGTACAACTGTATGGTTTTATAAACTTAAATCATGTAAAACAACTCATTAGGACACTAAAAGGACTTTTTTGACGTCATATAAATCTGATTTTGTTGTAGTCTGTCATATAATGGAAAAATTGACCGTGTATTTTTGGAAATATAGGGGGTACTTTTGCATTGTACTCGAAATTATGTCGATATGCGAAGGTAGGTTTAATCCCGAGCGAGCAAGCAGAGGACCGAGAGGTTTCCAACTTCCGACTTGAATTGCCGGCCAAAAATAATGCAATATCGTCAAAGCTCAAGAAAAGTCTCGAGAGTAGTCGGTTCTCCAAGTTTTCTCTTTTGTTCATCGCGATGCTCGGGACATGTATGGTTATCGGTGATGGCATCCTCACTCCCTCCATATCCGGTGACCAAATTTATCTTTTTCTTTCTTAATCATGTGAAAATATGTGAAATCTTATTAAATTTCCTTTAAAACTACGAGGTTCCAATATATATATATATATGTATATATATATATATTATCAAATGTTTTTAACATATCTAAACATTTCGTTACAGTTTTATCAGCAGTATCAGGGCTAAAGAAAGCAACAGATACCATGACAGAAAGTAAGTTTCATTTTGTTTTAGACTTGCTAGTTTTAATAAAGCAAAACGTCAAGAATAATCGATCTTCATGTCGTCAACTTAAATGACATTATTAAAATACGTGAAACCCCATCAGTGTGCTCTACAAAAGAACTGTTCAAGAGAGAATGAATGTTCCAATATATATTTGAGAATAATTGGTCTAAGTTTAGTCACTCTGCAGCTTCAACATGTCCACTCCAACAGAGGCTAGACGGCCACAAATTGTCCTATAGTGTTGAGTCCCAGAAAAATGGTAGATCTTGACTCTGATATCATATTAAAATATTTGGAACCCCATTAGAAAACAAACAAATTTCCGACATATATTGAGAAAAATTTGTTGAATCTAGCGATGTAGAACCCTAACCTGTTTCCCGTGAGGAAAAAGGCTCGGGCCTAAAGTACTGGGGTTTTGGTGTTGATAAAAGGCCCGATCGGGCTTCTCAAGTCAAGCTTTTTTGTGCTTCACCAAGTTTTTTTAGGTCGGGCTTTTTTAGGCTGGGCCTAGGTCCAAACCTTCCCCCAAAATTTCGGTATAAACAGGCTTTGAGGCCTGACTTGGACCATGTTTCGGGCTCACTAGGTCTCAGCTTTTTTGGTCCGGGCTTAAGTAAGACCTGGGTCGGGTATCAGACTTGGGGTTTTTTTGCATCTTAAATATAATTAATTTTGGAGTTCGATGTAATTCTTTTAGAAATTTTGATTTCTTTTTCTTTTCTCTTTTTATTATAAAGAAATTATAAAGAAACTACTGAACATGCTATAAATACTTAGAAAATTGAGCAATCAATGCAGGGGTGATCGTTGTGGTATCGGTTGTTATCTTAATAACGTTATTCGTGGTTCAAAGGTTTGGGACCGACAAAGTTGGCTACTCTTTTGCCCCGATAATTTGTGTCTGGTTCGGACTCATTACCGTAATCGGTATCTACAATTTCATCAAGTTCGACCCTTCTGTCGCCAAAGCCATAAACCCTAAATACATCATCGATTACTTCAAACGAAACAAAAAAGATGCTTGGATTTCACTTGGAGGCACTGTCCTCGCCATTACAGGTACTTTGGTTACAAAAAAATCAGTTTTATTGAACGACAAATATATCTAAATATTTTAGACTGGTTTATAGAACCAAACAAACCGTATGTGCTTCTTACATAAAGATGTTACAACAAGTTGATAATACCACTACAACAAAATTGATTTTATAGTACGCCTAAAATGTTTAAGCGTCCTACAAAAATAATTTATATGACTTGAGTTTATAGGACCAAACCAAAAAGTGTCATATCTAAAGTGTTACAATAAGTTTATAAGACGAATTTAGACATTTTAGCAATTTTCAAGGACACTTTTGAAGTAAATGTCGTATATACGACACTATTTCAAAAAGTGCCATGTAAAAAGATGGGTTGGGAGAAGTGTTCTATAAAATAACTAATATAACACTTTATTTAAAAACGTTCTAAAAGACTTATTAAAATGCCTAAAAACGTCTTACAAACCTATTGTAACACATTTAGATAAGACCTTTTATAGTATAATTTTATAAACTTAAGTTGTATAAAATATTCTATTAAGACGTTTAGATATTCTACTGTTCTAGGCGTCCCATAAAGTCAATTTTTGTTGCAGTGTACGCTTTCAAATGTATAAACTGACAACAATGTGGTTTGAATATAACAGGAACTGAGGCGATGTTTGCTGATCTTGGTCACTTTTCGGTTAAATCGATACAAATAAGCATGGGTTGTGTCGTTTATCCGGCCTTGATCACATCGTATAGTGGTCAAGCTTCGTGGCTAAGAAAGCACAAAGACAATGTAGCCGATACGTTCTATAAGTCGGCTCCGGAGGTCATGTATTGGTTGGTTTTTGTGATGGCTGTTATGGCGGCGATTGTAGCAAGTCAAGCGATGATATCCGGGACTTTCTCGATCATCAAACAGTCGCTCTCGCTCGGGTGCTTTCCTCGTGTTACAGTCGTGCATACTTCGGCTGAGTATGAAGGACAAGTTTTCATACCGGAAATGAACTATCTTCTTATGATTGGTTGCGTTCTTGTCACCGTTACATTCAGAACTACCGAAAATATCGGCCATGCTTACGGTAAGATTTTTTGTACGTTTTTTAAATAGTTCTGAGGACGTAACGTCTGATAAGAGTACTTGAAGACAGAGGATTAGAGTACGTAGTAGACTAGATGTGGGGACTAATTTTATACGACATTTCCGAGAAATGTCCTATTAATACATATTTTTATAGGAGACTTGTTTTATAAGACACTTTTTCAAATAGTATAATATATAATAGCTAATACGATACTTTATTTTTGAAATGTCCTAAAAAGTTTTTAAGACGTCCAAAAGCGTCGTATAAACTTATTACAACACTTCCGATAAGATGTTTTTTGTTTGATTTTATAAATTCAAGTCACATAAAGAAGCCTGTTGAGACATTTAAACGTTTTTGAAGGTATTGCGGTGATATTTGCGGAGACACTAACTTCGTTTTTCATGGTGGTAATGATGCTCGTCATATGGAAAACGAACCTACTTCTCGTGGTCTTATATGTTCTTGTGATTAGCTCCACGGAATACATCTATTTAAGCTCGGTTTTGTACAAATTCAGCGAAGGCGGATACTTGCCATTTTCATTTGCAGTCGTGCTTATGTTCATAATGTGCACTTGGAACTATGTTTATCGAGCAAAATACAACTACGAGCTCGATAACAAAGTGTCACAAGAAGTCATAAAAGACGTGGTTTCGGGCTCAGATATCAGTCGTATTCCCGGACTCGCAATTTTTTACTCCGAGCTCGTCCATGGCATTCCCCCAATCTTTAAACATTATGTCGACAATGTGCCTGCTTTACATTCAGTTCTCGTGTTCGTTTCCATTAAGTCGTTGCCGATAAGTAAGGTGGCGCCAGAAGAGAGGTTCTTGTTCCGAAGAGTGAAGCCAAATGAGCTTTATGTTTTTAGATGCGTGGTGAGGTACGGGTACATGGACGTACGCAACAAAAAGGAGTCGTTTGAGAAGATTTTGATCGAACACTTGGCGGATTTCATCGAATCGAATCATGAAGTTTCTGAAGCACAACATGATTTGGTGGTAGTAGAAAACGCTTGGCGAGCGGGTGTGGTGCATTTGGTGGGGGAGCACGAGATCGTGTCGAGATCGGGGTCGTCGATTGGGAAGAGGTTCGTGATCGATTATGTTTACCATTTCGTGAATAAGAACTCGAGGCAAAGCGAAAGCGTGTTCGAAATTCCACATAAAAGGATGTTGAAGGTCGGAATGACTTACGAGCTTTAACGATGATTTATATCTTGTAACGGTTGCTAAGAAGTAAACAGGTTTCATAACCATCGTATTTGTAGTTCCGTTGGAAACTAACATGACAAATTAAACATAAAATTTGAAAAAAACGCAATGCTTTTCTTAACATGTGCGAACGATTCAAGCTTTTAACGAGCTACTCGAGCTCAAGCTTAATAATTTTCAAGTTCGAGTTGATTTTGAAATAAAATAAAGCTAATTTAACTTAACGAGTCGAGCTCTATAACTCAATGTTCGACTCGGCTCGTTTGGAAGCTCGATTAAAGTTTTCAATCTAGTCGAGCCGAGTCGAGCGAAGCCATTCAAGCATACACGCCTTTTAAGCCAATAAATGAGTTAAACGTTTTCGAGTTCGAGCCCATAAACAAGCATCGAACTTAAACTTCGAAAAACTAATCGGCTCGAATAACCTAGTAATCGACTTGTTAACACTCCTTAGACAATACAAATTAACATGTATGTGTTGTGTGGTCCCATGGCCGATCCAAACTCGGTTTCTGGCCGACCCGTTTTTTTTTCAAAAATTTACAAAAAGTATTATATATATATATATATATATATATATATTATTAAGTATCAAATCACACTTTAAATATTATATAAAAAATATTTTTTTTGAAAACTTGAAAAATCAAGCTAGAAATTTATGGGGCTGGACTTTGGGGCGTTTACCAAACACTTGTATGGGTAAATGATTACTAAATCATGTTATCTCATCGAATGAATATGGTAAATACTAAGAATCTTACCCGGTAAGTGAGGGTGACGGCTCTTACTATGGTAAGCGCATCCAGGTAAATTGTTGTATACGATGTCGTTTTGGTGGATTAAAATCCTACCCGATAAGTAAATAATAGTGTTAGTGCTAAATTTTACCCGTAAACATTTACCGGGTGAGTGGTTGGTAAATGGCCACTTAGTACGACACCAAGTTTTTTTTTTTTTTTTCCTGTTAATATAGTGTACCAACCAAATGTAATTGATACCAACTTTTTCAGTTGGTACTGGTTTTGTATATAGGAATCTTTCCATTATGTTTAAATTTTGAGTGACATTTTAGGTTTTCAGGCTGTATATATGATGTTTAAGTGCATTTTATTCCATGGAACAAAACATGTAAATATTCAAATATTCAAACAAAATAGTTAAAATTACTATGTTTCATGTTTAATACATAAAAGATATAAAATAAATAAATAAATCGAGATACTGTGTACCAACCACTTTTTACATACGTGATAACGAGACTACCAACAAACTATAATTGATATTAATTAGAATAATACCAATTTAACTGGTATCATTGATACATATATTGGTTGGTTTGATTCAGTACAAAATTGATATGCTGAACTATTATAATTTCTAAAGCAAATGAATGAAAATCGTAATTTTTAACAAACCATAGAAACAAAATCGTAAGATAAATGCTTTATAATATAGTAAAAATATTTGTACGAGCATATGCTACATATAAATTATTCATTATTGAAACCTAGTTAAAACTCCTTTAAAAATATTAAATTAAATAGAATAAAACATTATATATATATATATATATATATATATATAGGGTAGGGTTCACGTGAGATAAATTTGTTTTCGTGAGACACGGATTTTACACTTGAAAATTAACAACAAAATATTGTGAATGTAACAAAAACCCGAATCTGTACATTAAAAACACTGTGAAGGTTACCTTCACAGTATTTTATTATGAAGTTTCAAGTATAAACATCACGTTTCACGAAAACAACCTTGTCTCATATGATCTGTCTCTCCCCCTCTCTCTTTCTCTCACACACATATATATATATATATATATGATCTAATTAATTAAAACATTAATTATATTTAACATAAAAATAAAAAGTAAATTTTAATATATATATATATATATATATATATATATATATATATATTTATCCACACCATCATCATCTACAAATAATAAGCTCACAAACCCAGAATAGTTGTTTCTAGGAAGGCATTTGTTTATTAATTAATTTACTTCAAGATTAAAAATTAGATGTTGGATTTGTAGAAGACTTTGAATAGCCTTGAAATGTGAGTCACGTCCTGAGTTCATGGGACATATCATCCAATCGCAATATTTTCATTTAAATTTAATTCTTCCTAAAAAGAATCTCTTTTTAATTATAATAATTATTAAGGGGAATCTTTTTACATATTTAAAATAAATAATTAATTTTAAAACATCTGTTATTTTAGAAATTACAACGCTAATTATAATATATCAGTTTCCTTTTCAAAACATCAGATATAAGGTTTTTTGTCGGTGGAACTGTAATAAAGTATATTTATCTTTCAGGGTAATTATTTTTTGGAATAATATATCAGTTTCTTTTCACAATCTCTGTTTTACTTTCTTCTTTTTGGAATTCTTTTCGAGAATCTATTCGAGTAAAATTTTGTCTCGGATCTTTATTTTCTTTTTCGAATTGAAGAATCTGTCGAAGATGTTTCGATGTGTTTAAAACTTATATGCAAACGAGTTTATAACCGTACTCATCAATTGATATAAAAAATAATGTTTTCTTTGTAGACTATAGGACTGTTTAATTAATTTTACATTAAGTCTTGTATGGATAAAGTTATATGTGAAGATTAATCTGTTTGTATAGATTGGAAATGTTTTTGTTTGAAAGAGAGTTTTCCATGAAGGGAAGGAACATGTTTTCTTTAATTAGATAAGTAGGTTTAGAGAAAAAGTAAATTTTCTGTATAAAGCTCCCTCCTAGAGGTTTATAGAATAAGCCACTTTCTATATCATTAAGTCACTATCAAACAGTAATGCATAATTGATCGAATAAGTTGTAAGTTCCATTAAGTTTTAAGCTACTAACAAACAAATCCTAAGTGATATACCATCATATCATGGTAGTAAAAAAAAAAAAAAAGTCATTCCACCATCACGAGATCAAACATTTTATTGAGGTCAAGCGTTGAGTTTTAAAAAATTATACGTATGTAATAATAAACTGTAGACTTCAATTTTAATAAATTATATAATATTAAGATTAAAAAATTATTTCTTTTTCTTCTTTATCAAGATTAAAACTCAAAAAGAAAGAAACCCTTTACAAGCAAATATTTATGTAATTACCATGAAATTAATATATAATTACATGTCTCAACGGCACATTTTACGAGAATATGAAAACATTTTTTTTATTGTATTCAATCACATGTGATACAAATGTGAAACTAAATCAAAGACGTGTACAACTTTTGGTGCGATCTAGGTTGCAGGGTAAGTCGCCCTTACACCACTACGTCCCCCCACGTGTGTTATCACATGTGATAAAGATGTTATTAATGTGATACTATATATAATCTATCACATGTGATATTAAATCATAGATGCAGACGACCTTTGACACGACCTAAGTTGCAGGATACGTCGTCCACACACCACCAATTCCTCTCACATGTATTATCACATGTGATAAGCATGTTCTTGTGTTCTCGTAAAATGAAGGTGTTCTCGTTTGAATTGTAAAAGGAAAGGTTCATTTGAGAAATGGTAAGTATTTTAGAAGTAAAACAAGTGATCCTAGCCCTTCATACGGTCAAGAGTTGCGGCTTTGACCGGTGAAGCGAAAAATAGAGATGTAGTTTCTTAATTTTTACAAATAGACGGCAAACAAGTACACATGTGAACCCATAAGTGCATATGTGAACCTATATTTCATATATGAATCAATTAATTAGTTCATATATGAATTTGTTAATTAGTTCATATATGAATCAGTTAAATAGTTCATATGTGAATTACACCAGTTCACATATGAACATATAATTCATATGTGAACCACACGGGTTCACATATGCACTAATTTTGCCGTCTATTTGTAATGGTTATGAAACAACATCTCTATTTTCCGCAAACCCTGCAAGGAATTATCCGTGTTTCATGTCAAAACCGCAAATCTTGACCAGATCAAGGATTAGGATCACCTCTCTACTTCTCAAATACTTATCACTTCTCAAATAAACCTATAACTATATATAAGTAGTATATATAGATGATTTACAAGAAACATGATATAATCGACAAACATTTTTGTATATCTCAGTAGAGAGACCAAAAACGAATTAAGTTGGAAAGATAACATATTTAGGTTTTAGTTTTACCTTGTTAATTGTTTTTAATTTAATTTATGGTCAGTTTAAATGAAAACGTAGCTAATTAATTAAATGGTTATATATAAATCATGTTTTAGTACAGAAGATAATTTTTTTGTGTGGGGGAAAGTGTATGCAGATGGGGTTTTTGATGACAAAGATGAATAAAGCTAGCCATGGCCATCTAGGGTTTCACAAGAACCCTAACCCCAAAACACATTTAAGGTACTATTTACCTATAATATATGCACATACGTTTTTACATATGTAGATAGATTAAAATTTAGAGACTTACAAACTAATTTTTATGTCATGAAACAACACATGTGTGAATGCAGTGTTTGTACAGTATTGTTTCATGTGTGAAACGTTCATGATTATTTTTTATGTAGAAAAAACAGTCCTGAATGTTTTAGATATGAAACAACACAGTATAAACATTGTATTATCACACATTTTTTTAATATATGAAACAAACACATGTTAATGATTATACATTATATATATATATATATATATATATAGGATTGGGTTCACGTGAGACCAAACGTTTTTCATGAGACCCGTAAGACTCATTTATGTTCATTGATCAACTTTATAAGTTAATGATCTAACGGTCTAAATTGCACGGTGGCAATTTGGTAATTATTAAGAAATCTTGTGGCGTTTATGAATGTTTAGATTGTCAGATTATAGATCTAATCTAAGGGTTGAGAATTGGTCTTACGGGTCTCACGAAAAACCATTGGTCTCACATGATCTCAACTTGAGATCATGTGAGACCAGCCTGTTTTCATGAGACATGTGAGACCATATTTTTACACTTGAAACTTCATAGCCAAATGCTGTGAAGGTGACTTTTTTTTTAACCTTCACAGTGTTTTTGCTGTGAAGGTTCGACTTTTTTTTAACCTTCACAGTGTTTTTGCTGTGAAATTTCAAGTGTAAAAAGCTGGTCTCACGGGTCTCACGAAAACAGACTGGTGTCACATGATCCCAAATCTATATGTGAGACCAGTCTGTTTTCGTTAGACCCGTGAGACCAGTTTTTTACACTTGAAACTTCACAGCAAAATGCTGTGAAGGTTCGACTTTTTTAAACCTTCACAGTGTTTTTGCTGT